CATGACAACGCCGCCCACACGTTTCACAAATCACTATCCATAAATTGAACGAATTGGGGGTTGAAGTTCTACCTCACCGCCATATTCTCCAGACCTTTCACCTTTTCAAACATTTTCAGAACTTCCCTTGCTGGAAAATACTTCATCAATCAGGACCAGGCAAAAAAGCCTTCGTGGATTTCGTGAATTTCTCGACCACCCAGTTTTTTTCTTTGATGGGATTTCTCGACTGCTGTGGCAAAAGTGTGCTGATTCGAATGGTGCTTATTTGGATTAAATCCGATGAGTATTAAGAAAGTTATGATCGTTTAAAGTGAAACACTCGAAACGTGCAGAACTTTCCGGACAACCTAATAGATCCCATGAGAATGCAAGGTGAAGGGGTGGCCGCTCTCGAACTCTGTCCGCTTGATCTGGAACCTACCTGGTCAGCAACCCTATCGTCCCAAGCTACCCACGGTTATGAGTCATCAGCCACTTTGGTGGTCTAATCGTTCCCTTGAGGGCACTGCTGAAGAGGAGAGCAAGGGAAAATCCTCCATACCCAGTTCATGGAGTCGCTCCTCGGATTCGGAGGGCAGTTTTGAATTTAGCCCCTCACGGTGCGTACAGCGGTGTATTCTTCGTTACAAATGGCCGGACCGATCTTCCATTCTTATACAGCGTTTCGAAGAACATCTGTCTATCGAAGGCTACATCTCATTTTGGCTTCAAATCGTCTATTTTTTAGCAGAATTCATTACCACCTCATAGGCCTAAGGTGATGCAGTAGTGATGGCGAGACATCCAGCCTGACTTCTATCAGTTTTCATTATTACCAACGAGGTGTCGCAACCTAAATGCAGCGAACTGTTCCGTGTACTCCTACGAGCAAGACCCGCTCTGCACCATCTGTTCAATCAGAGTTTTTTTCGAGAACCTGCAAAGCTTTTTGACAGGCACTTTTGTACCACAGCCGACGACTTCTCAAGGGTCATGTTTAAATGATGCACCACTGATCATAAGAGTACATCCTTCAGCTATAAAACAGTGACATAAACGTCAGAAATTCACTCGTAATAGCATGGTTCCTATTCAACCGGATAATGCTTCTTGATCTTGATTCCTGCTGTCACATTGATTTCACATTTGTATACGGCAATTATGCTCTGAAACGCTGGCGGAAAACTGCAATGGGGGAACTTGCACCATGGTTCGCACTTTCTCAAAAGGCGCCATGTAGATGATTCCATCTCGAGAAAGCTGAGTTACAGGCGAAAGACTTGACCCCCGACAGGACTCTGATCTGCTTTTAACGCTCACCGGCTTAATGTGCTAAGCATAGACCAGCTGAATCGCGATTCACGCTTCTAAATTAATGGCTTTTATGCACATTAGTCCGGTAAGATGAGGCGCAAGTTCGAGTCCTGTTTGAGGTCAGGCCTTCAGCCCACAGCTTAGTCCTTGGGATAAGTTTAGAAGCGCTTAAGGGCCGCCCTAGTGGCGTAATGGATAGCGCACTCGCCTGAATGAGGGGTTCGAGTCCCGCCCCGGTCACAGTAGTGATAGCGAGACGCCAGTCTGGCTTTATTATGTCTCAACCAACCATTCAGGAGTCCCGCCCCAAAGGCAACGGATCATTCCGACAGAGGAAGAATCACTGTCATCAGTCCGGAAGTGCAGAGTGTGGGGCGATAGAAGGGTAGCAAACCGCTGGTAGAGTATAGGGAGATAGGAGGGTGGCAGACTGCTGGAAGAGAGAGTATGGCGCGAGGAGGGTAGCAGACTGGTAGAGTATAGGAATATAGGATAGTAGCAGACTGATGGTAGAGAGTCTGGGAGGTAGGCAGGATAGCAGCTGCTTGTAGCCATTGGTCGCTGGAGACGCTGCAGCAAAGGATAAGCGCATCTCAATGATCAGGAAGAATGAATGATTATAGAAAGGGGCTGCTTTATCATGATTACTGATATCATAAACATGCTACATAATACATAGACAAAAGTCCGAGAAGATCCTAGATGATCTTGGACTTCTGCCCATACATCAGTATTTTTGTGATGACAGTGAAATCTTCGTCC